CCCACACCTAGGTATTGCATATTTAATAAGGCTAGCAAGACCCACAGCACTTGCACAGCACAGTGACTCTGTCATTTCTAGATATGCTGGATGGACAAATTGATCCTATCCAAATTTTGGCAAATCTGTGCAGACAACATTCAGAAACGAACAACTATTTCAACGGGCCACAAATGTAATTTCAAAAGACCTCCTTGGATGTGCTTTACACTGTCCAGAGTACATTTGACCCGGCATAAAAGAGTAGTTTTGTTCCAATACGTCAAAATGTTACCCGATCAGACGTCTATTATAGAAGTACTGCAAACAGAACTTGCATTGGTACGTACTCGCTCCTGTTCATGGAACACAAGAAAACAGGACAGGAGACCCTACTTGAGAGCAGGGTGTGTGTTTATCATTTGGATGACATCCTACTCCTGGCTCAGGAAAACATCTTCTCCTAGCTCACCAAGACATACAAAAGTCCACAGAGCTCAGCTGGCTGATCAATACGGAAGTCACCTCATTCCCACACAAAACCTGGTGTTCCAAGGGACACAACTGAACACAATTTCTCTTCCCTATGAGAAGATTCCAACACTTATGACCAGAACATCACAGACCCTGATCTCCTCCTCCCTAGCAGGCTCAGAGTGCCTGAAAGTAATAGGCACGAGGGGAGCAACAACTCCAATGGTAAGATGGGGAGAACCTTCATCAAAAGATGTGATTAATGAGGAAAAGCTTATAGTGGTGGATGAGGGAAGAAAACCTCCTCACATGCAATTGTTCTCAATCCATGGAGTGTTGTCACCACTGATGCCAGCACATGGGGCTGAGGAGCTCACTGTGTTCAGTAATCAGCTCAAGGCACATGGAAGTTCTCCTTAATGCATCTTTTATCGAATATTCTAGAGTTGATGGCAACCTATGAGGGTCTTTGATCCTTTTCTCCTCTCATCAAGGGCAAAGTGGTAATGTTTAGAATGGACAATATCACTGCTCTAGCATATGTAAAGAGGTAAGGTGAACCCACAGCCAAACCCTTCTAAGGGAAGTGACCATCCTTGTGTGGGCCTACTCCAATCCCCACAACCTGTCGGCAATGCATGTTCTGTGTCCCCAAACCTGCTGACTCAAGGCCTGATGGCATGGGTATTGAAAGGGAAAGATTGATATCTTTGATATCCCTGGGATGTTCTGCAAGGGTCGTAGACACCCTACTGAAGTCCAGAAAGCTGAGCACCAGTAACACCTACAACAGGGTATGGCCAAAAATCCAACAACATACCATTTTATAACCTTTTTGTCCCCAAATACATCACATCTCGGGCTTCCTGCAAAAGGGTGTTGACAGGTGTTTGAACCGAAGCTGGCAAGATTCCAAGTCTCAGCAACAATGGAATTCACAAATGCAGATTGGGCTTCTCAAAATCTGACTGCCAAATGTTTTAGAAGGTGTTCTTTGCCAAAGAGCACCCAGAAACTGATTATTAACCAAATGGGGTTTACCGCAGTTGTATACTTCTTGGCCTAAGGTGATTTCAGTGTTAACCCTTTACGATCCATCTGATGGATTGCATTCCTGGTGGTGATCACATCAGGAAGGAATGTGTCAGAAATAGCGGCGCTGGGCACTCAAGAACCGTTCCTTTCTCTCTTTCCTGTGAGAGTTGTACTAATCCTAATATTAGGCTTTATTTTCCAAAAATGACGTTGAAATTCTATTTGAGTTGGATATAGTAGTCCCATCCTTCGTAATTATGGAGGATGAACAAGTCAGCCAGTTGCACATTGGCGGGCAGGCTTTACAAATCTATATTGAGGCAACTTCATCCTTCAGATCTACAAATCATGTATCATCCTCCTCAGACAAGAACAAGGAAAACAGGTTTCTAGTCATTGCTTCATGGCTTATAAAGATCATTTCCTCAACATATAGGGCAAAGGGCTGGTGCTACCCTCCAGAAGGGGTGATGGCCCATTCCGTAAGGAGTATTTCTTCATCCTAGGCAGTGGCATCCTGAGCATCTCAATATATATCACAGTCACAGTAACTGGTGCTATAGAGGAAGTATTGGCTAATGCGGCTCTGCTCCCTCCGCCGCCGCAGCCTTGCTTTCTACAGCGCCGGCTTCCTTTGCCACCAGGGACAGTGGTACCAGCGGTGCAGCAGTAAACACACCCATTTTCCCCAATATATATATATATATTTCTGCAAAGCTGCCACTTGGTCATCCATACTCACCTTGATATCTAACAATTGCACATAACCAGCCTCTCTTACCACTGTTGGGTAGCAGAATACTGCAGTCTGTGAACCCCATTCCCCTTTGACAGGAAGTGAAGGGACATCTCTGGTATGGGGTCATAGATCACAACAGAACACTTAATTTGAAGTTGGGTTTTAAAGATGAACTCCATGCAAATTACAAATGAACCCTTGCAGTGGGGCTACCCCCCGCATTGCAAGGGTTACGTGCTCATTTTGGCATAAAATAAAATGTAAAAAAAGACAAACTCAGCCAAACCTGCGACAGTGACCGCTCACCTCTCTCTCCCTCCACTCCAGCTGTAGAATGTCCCTCGGCATCCAATGCAAGTCAATGGACTTGTATTAGACATGAGGACGTCTGGGGCTTAGCTCAAGGATTGGGAAAGTATTATTATTTTTGACTATAAACCAAAACAAGCAGTTAACCCTTGCAGTGCAGAGGTAGCTCTACTACAAGGGTTCATTTATAAGTTCTTTTTTAAAGTGTTGTCAACCCTACCCGAGTTCTCTTCTGCAGGACTACAGAACACCCTCCCCACTCCTCAGCACCAAAACAGTGGTAAAAAAGACAGATAAACCACCCCTTTGCCTCTTGCGTGAACGAGCCTAAGAGTAATGTAACAAAACCTCCATTTTGAACCTATATGTCAGAACAGTCTACAATTGAGCAGTGGGGGGTTATATCATGTTCCCTCTCTGTGCTCCTCTCCATTCATGTGAGCAGCTGTCACTTTCTGCATTCACACACAAGGAAAGCCCATTAATATCCCCCTCTGCACTGTATATAGTAGCACAGGGTACACTCAGGAGGAAGGTCTCCCTAGCAGCACTCAAAAGGACCCTGACACCCAACAGCCGCCTCCCTCCACATCCAGCAACCACACAACACGTTGTCAGGGAGGCCAGGCTATCACGTGACCGCCGGCTCCGGCCCGGTAACTCACCCTCAACGCTCTCCTGTCACCAGGGCGGACAGTCACCGGTCAATATCTAGCAGTCCACGAAGGCAGTGAAAGGGAAAGCCCATAACAATAATATGCCCGCCACTTCCGGGATGTTTGAAAACCGCGCCGTGCCAACGCTGCGTACGTCCCTAGTGCTCACGCTGAAACATCTCCGAATTTCTGTCCCCGCTTCAGGCGCCATTTTGTTGGAGTCCACCTACATTAATACAACGCTAGAACGCTGAGGGGCACTGTGGAGCGACTTCTGTGTCTGACAGGAGCAAACTGAGTGATTCCACAAGTTCAAATAAGGCTTTTACTTTCTGTTTACAATTGAAGAAAGCATGAAAATCACATGTAAAATGCATTTTCATGCGTATATGTGCGTAACATTTTTTGTGCATTTTCCATACATCAGTCATTATGCATTTTTATCTTGGCCAATGTAGGTGAAGAAGTAAAGTTTATTAGGGGACAGGCTTGTTTTTATACACTAAAACACACGAAAATGAACTTCACATGTGATTTTCATGCTTTCTTCTTACGCTCACATTGAAGTCTATGTAGCTAAAAATGTCGCACCACAAAAAGCTCCTGTGCTATTCGCCAAGTCGCAAGGAGGTGCAATCCATAGGTGTGAATAGGCCCCATAGAAATTAACCACTTCCTGCGGGTTCACGTAATTGTACGTCATCCACTGGAAGTGGTTATACCAAGAACACGGCTGCTGCTGCTTGTACGGTGCGGCCATCTCCCGCCCCCCCTCCCCTACTGTTAGCTAGCCATAGATATATGCAAAAAAAGCTGAGGGTTTAATAACCCTTTAAACTTGTATTGCCAGGTATTAGGCATATCCTGCTTTGTGCATAGCAATGGCGGACTTCTGTAATCCCTTTTAAATTCATTTATGGCCAGAAAGGTCATAAGGTTACAATTATTAGAATGTATTTTCTTATCTACAGTAGGAGTAAATATGAGCTCAGCATTCTCTTTGACTCATGAACAGCAATAATGTTATCTTTCCTACTGATGGTTTTTATATTTA